CTGGCTAGGACCATGGCGTCAGCATTTTGATGATGAATCATGGCGTGGCAGCGTTACTCGAGTCGACCTTCTGTGTACCTTATTCTGTGGCACTGCTCGTACATTATAGTCGGAGGTTTACGGTAGCCCAATCTTTCTACCAACTGACTCTACCGTGGCGTACTAGCTTCGATAGTACAGCTTCGAGAATCGAGTTTTAAATTAAACTTAGGAAATTTTACACTTTACCGTACCGGAGTAATCACTGAATACATGCGCCATCAAAACACTCCAATAAAAGAACGGAAAAGGCGTCAGAACACACGCTATCAAATACTTGCGGTACTGGTAAAGTACCCTAAACTTAAAAACATTACCAAAAACCCTTTAAAATAAACTTACCATTAAGACAGGCTGTTCTTTCATTCAAGCGTTGTCTCTTTATCCATGGTCGAATTACCAGTACAATTTTTTATAAACCAGTACAGCGATGTAGTGAAATTTCGGGCCGTCGTTCACAACAAATATAAACATCACAATTATATAAGTCAATGTATGTATTTTTCTCTTTTATTAAATACTACAGAATCGTTTTCCCTGTCCACTATCCCTGTGAGTTATAATTTCCAAAACAAACCAGTCGTTATAACGTAAAGTAAGCGGTTATTTGTGACCAAAAGTGCCGTTTCATAACACGAAGTAACCGGCGCCATCATTAAATTTTCGCGCCAAAAACTCTGTAGTGGAGGAGAAGTCCCGTATGAACGACGTCACAGGTGTCATTACGCATGCGCACTGAGCTATAAGTAAAATATTTCAAAAATACCAGAAAAATATACGCACTAAATCCAATTTTAATCTCTTTATCTTCGCTATTTTCGCTTTCCATATATTGTTCGACCCAACCACGGTTGCAACACAACAATTTTTGCCGCTAAACATTTTAAAATCAACGAAAATAGTAAATATGAAGGCATGAAGCATTATTTCATAATTTATATAGAAAATACTGCTCGGGCAAACATCGGGAAAATCCGAAGTTATCCGAATCCCCTGAGCTGAATTACTTCACTGGATGTCTGTCTAAAAATAGCAACACTACAGTGTTTTATATAGACCAGTGGCTCACACTGATCTATATAAAAACACTGTAGTGTTGCTATTTTTAGTACGTTATTTGCGCCTGGGTACGAGGCTGATCCACTGAACTATATAACATATAAATATATAACTTCTTTTTGCCATTCTTCCCTTTTTTTCAATCTCGTTCCCCGAGCATGGGCATGCTCGGGGAACGAGATCGCCTTTTTTTAAAAAATGCAAAAAGGGGCGGCCTAAAAATGGCCTAATAAGGTGGGTTTGGATAAAATATCATAGTTGTTGTATTTATAAATTATAATTTATAGGTATCGTATAATACTCGATGTAAAGCGCATTTTATTATATTGACGTGTGAATTCGCGCTATAGAAATGTTAAAATCGCAATAAATGCAAGGGACTAACCATACCATTAGAACACTTGTAGTCGTGTTTTATCATATCTATGCTTGTGCTGCCCATTTTAAATATGATATTAACACTCCTACATATGTTGATATGGCAGTTTTAAATATTACTTAATATGAGCACAAAGTTCGGCTGAGTGACTGCTATCTATATGATATTGTGTAGTTATTATGTATGCAGACTCGCATGGTTACGTCATTGTATAATTTGTATTGTTACACATCGCACCCAATGAGGCAAACTTTATGCATATTTTTTACTTGAGTTACTTGGTTACGTGAGTGTGGGGCAGTTAAACAACGGGAAATGACCAGCCTGCTTTGCACACACTGTTTGCCTGCGTATTGGGCCTTTCAGAACAGGAAATCAGGTTCAAATAATGAAGTGCTAATAAACTTCAGTACTTAAAACCAATTACTCAACAAAACCAAGTGTTTTCTTTGTCGAGCACAACAACCTTTTCCCCTCAAGACACCACCTCCACGACAAGAAACATTTAAACCAGTCTGGAGTTAAGATTTTTGCAAGAAATCTTAAATCTGCCTTCTTTTACCTCACAAAGAATCCCACAATCTTTAATAAATCCAAACTCCCTATCAAGTACAATCTCCCCTTTGGCTACCATAATTCAACATTCCCTCCTCCAAATTTTCCATCTCCATCAGACTTATCCTCACAACAGTTAGTTCTCAACATATTTACCTCCAACCAATTTACCGCCACCTCACCCCAGCCATTCAACTTTCCACAACCTACGAATAGAAATGCCCTGAAAGATCTAGTAACAGGAATAATGTACCTA